GGCGAAACTCAAAAAATTAACAAAGTAATTGGAAGAAAAAAAAATGATTTCACATTCTGAGAGCCTGTTATCTTTTAGTGATATTTATTAAAAAAAGTTTGGATAAATTTTGCATAGAATGTCTGATGTCAATTTTAAATATTTCATTCTTTCAAAATGTTTGCCATTTAATTATGAAACAAGAGTGTTATAAATTTTTTATTATAGATACAGTATGTAATAAACTATGATAAAAGAATTTTTATTTCATTAATTAAAACAACAAATGTTATTAATTTAACTTGTAAAACTCTTTCAGAATAAGAACAAACTTTCAATTGAAAAATCTTCAAATTAAAATTTTGCAGGATTTGTTAGAAATAAAAATGTGATCATCAAAAATGTACCATAGAATATAATACAAGACACATGTGGGAATGAGGTCTCTACCAACTACGCAGAACGATACTCTGCCAGAGAAGTCAACCCCCTTAAACTTTTTCAATAGAATAAAATTTAGAATTTCAATAATGCAGTTTGCAATAATAATTTCAGTATATATAATGTATATAAAAATAAAGATATATATATATATATATATATATATATATATATATATATAGAAAGAGAGAGAGAAAGAGAGAGAGGGAGATTGGGGCATTTATTAATGTTTATATAATAAATATAATAATACAAATGAATGATTAAAATTTATTGAACAACAGCTTATGAAAAAAGGTTTAAAACGACTTTTCAGCTGAGTTACATCTCCTCGATAAATTCACGCTGACAGATTTTCATATTGCCGAACATTCATGCCAGGAACAACTTTAGAACAGCATAAATTGTTGCTTTAAACTGTTGTTTCTTGCGCAAAGTAGCAGGAAGTGATCATCCGGAAAAGACAAATTGATGATAGAAGGCTGGAGACGAAGAAGCGGAGCAATGAAGATGACTATGAAAAAGAAACTGGCCCATGCCTCCAATAATCAGCTTAAAACAATAAACTGTCCTCATACATATGCGCATGCACGATACTATATATTATAAATATTACGATGAGAAAGAGAAAAGAAAAGAAAAAAGAGAAAGAGAGAGAGAGAGAGAGAGAAATAGAAAAAGATTTAAATATTTACGAGTGCGATGTTGTTGCATATGAGTGAATGCGTTTGCGCGGAGTAAATAACAATGTACATTTTGTATGGAGTCGAGAGAGAGAGAGAGAGTTGAGTATGAATTATGTAGATGAACATAAACTGAGACATAAATACAAAGAGGAATGCAGCCATAAAGTGGTAGCTACATTACCGGCTCTAAAAATACATATGTTACAATATCAGTGTGTACACTGACTTAGCGCTTCTGTGTGTATGTTTGTATGTCTGTGTGTATGTGTGTGCGCGCGAATGTGGGTCTGTATCTCTGCTCACATGTTTTTTTGGATCTATCATCTTTCCAGGCGGAGGCAGAAAACGAACGTATCATGAGGCATTTCCAATTAGTTCATTTAATTTTAAACATTATATTATTTAATACTTGGAGAGGTTCAATGGGATGATGACTGCGCAGCGCATGGATATTTATAATCTTTTCATGTATAAGAATGATCTATTTATAAAATATTTTAATTACATTTATTTACGTTTAAATGAACCTTCCTTAGTGGGAACGTCTCAAAGATGGGCTAATCAACAAACCAGCCCAAACAAAACATCATCTAACAATAACAACCGACTAATAATCTGAACATTTCTATGCTTCATTTAAAACTCTCCTTGAGAAATTTGAAATACTTTGTAAGGAGCAAACAATGTTGAAGCAATACATCGCTACAGTGGCATTCATCGTGAATGATGTCTTTTTTACAAGACAATAAAAATAAATCTTACAAACCTGTACGGCATGGATGTACATTCGTTCAAAAAAAATTTGCAAGTTACTCAACCCGTGAGAAAGTTTCAACGATATAACATCTGATATCATTTGAAACAGTTTGTGCCACATATAACAGCTAATAACAAATATAACATTGATAGAAGTATTGCCTCCCCATGTTATTTTGTTTAAAAAAAAAATTTATAATTTCTGAAAACATGAAAATAATTGCTTGGTCAAAGTAAACATTTGTGTTTTTAAGTTAAACGTAGATCATAAATTTATTAAATAAATGCGCCACGTATAGATACGTGTGCGTGCGTGTGCGTGCGTGTGTATGTGTGTGTTTGTGTGTGTGACAATAGTTGATGTTTTATTTTTTGCTTGGTACATTTCAAATCTGCGTCCAATGTTGTACACGAAATTGCGGTTGCTTGCATAGAATAATTTTTTGTTTCGGTTGGCATTCGATTCAATCGATCACATGTACGTCGGTGCAGAATGTGTTCCCACCTGAATTAAACTTTTGGAACATTTGCGTTTATAGATGATGATATTATTATTATTATATATTTTATTGTATTATTATTGTATTATATATTATATATATTATTATTATGTTATGATATATGGCTGTTGAAAATGCATTATTGTGAAGATGCAATTAAAAATTGAAAAACTCTTGCCGTCAGCAAAATATTTGAATTTAAAAACAATTTCTAATGAAATTGGTTTGTTGTTCATTTCAATTTTTCATGCAAATGTTAAATTGATTTATTTTCAATAATTTCAACAGCAATAGCAATCTGATTCGAATGTTCTGATTAAAAATTTAACCGAAAAATATTTCGTTAAAAATCCGGCCGAGTACTTGAAACCATTATCCTGCCAAAATTTTCACTTGCCTATAAATTTCGTGTACACGTCGCATGCGTGCATGTGTGTGTGTACGTGTTTGTGTGTGTGCGTGTGTTCGTTTGTGTGTGTGGTGAGTGTGCACGCGCGAATTATTAAGCAAAACATCCGCATGCTTAATAAAAACAAATAAATCCTGTTCAGGACAAATGAAACAACTGCCAACCAACGATGCGTCCAACGACCCAAACAAAAGTAACATAACACAACAAACAGTTCACTCAACAAAGCAAGCAAACAACTCAGCCACAAATTAAAACAAAATGTAAAACAAACACATCAGACAACGACATATATCAAACAACCAATAACAACAAACAGCACCCAACACAGACACAAAAAAGTCATCAAACTATTTCAACGCTGAAACAAAGCGCTAACAAAAGTCTGGCAGGTTTAATTGGTTTTTTTATTATTATCTGCAAAGCAAAAGCGGAATGTAATATTAAAAATATCACAGAGGACAAAAACAGCACCAGTGGCTGCAGTGGTCGTAACATTAAAATGCTTCACATTCGTCGGCTGACAATAATTTCAACAAACTGCACCCCATTCACGTCTTAACTATCATTTGTTTCTAGCTTCGAACAGTAAGAATAGTGTCGGTTATCACAACAACAAAAGAACGCTAACACGTTGCTGAACTTGAATCATCGTTCCTGAAAAAATGTTAGCTTCAATATCAACAACAACAACAAGCAACAACATCAACAATAACAATAGCAACAACAACAATAATTATTATTATTATTATAACATTAACAACAACTACAACAACATTAAAACTATCAACAACATCGTTATCATCATCAACAACAGCAGCAACAGTAGCAACTTCAACAAATCGAATCCAATGAAGAAGGTCCAGCCAGTATTAGACTCGCATGCACTTCATGTACGACGGTCTCTAACTCAAATGCGTTTCAACAACTCCAACAGGTGAACAACAACTTCAAACAACTCCACCTCCCAATAACATGCAGTCCGTATAGCATCAGCGGAGCTCACCAAGATATGCGCACTGAATGAGATGAAACCATCTGATCAAAATTTACAACCACCCGATATGATGGGCGTCGCTTTGGTCTGATTTAACTTAGAGCTGTATAAAATATATTAGCAGAACGATGCATATTTTCAAAGAAAGAATCTTCACTATCACAGGCCAGATTGGGGAAAACTTAACTATCAGCAGCCCAATTGGAAGAAACTTCACCATCACTGACACCATTGGACGATTTTTATTATTAATTATTTTTCTTTGATGCTTGGCTGTTTATTTTGCGTTTGGAAACATTACTAATTTCATTTTGTTGTTGTTGCTGTTGTGGTTGTTGTACCCGTGTTATATTTGTTTTTATTATTTTTAATCTTGTTATCATTGTCACTGTTATTATTGAGATTTTTGTTGTTGTTGTTATTAATATTAATAATGTTGCCACTGGTGCCAGCTTGTTTCAATCGTGTCAACCATTCATCATATCTGTTATTATCATTGTTATTATTATCTTTGCCGGTCCTCATCATCATCATCATTGTTATTATTGATATTATTATTATTATATTTTCACGACGATAAATTCAGCCATAATTAATAAAAAAATTTTGTTAAGCGTTCATTAAAACATAGTAGAAAAAAAGTACGACAAATAATAATAAAGCTTCTTCGATTCCCAACAAAAAAACCGACATTCTGAATGTGGCTTCGTCACGGACTGCTGATTCAATTCGGAATTTGAGATATCTAATTTTTATTGCCTACCGCCTGCCTTCTGGCAAGAAGGACCGTGCGACATTTTGTTGTTTATGGGTGCAGTGGTGCAATAGAGTAAGCAAAATGTTCAAAGTCGATGACGATTTTATGAGAAATGGATGTTGGATGGATGTAACGGGTTCGATATTAACTAAACACAACGACAGATATATTATTAATCCTCCTTTATTAAAACCTAACTAAATAATTATTCGAATAAACCAAATTAATGAAAATGCAACAATACAATACTCAATTTTACTAACGTCAACTCCGACCCAAGAGCCACATAAAGGAAAAAGAGCTAACTTATTTGCGTAGGCTATTTATAGGCATGCACGGTGCTCTCTCCTAGGTAAGCGCTTGTACTTTGGTCTAGTAATCGACCCACGTGACCATACGGCGCTCTCTCCTAGGTAAGCACACGTGCTTTGTGCTAGTACTTATTCCACGTGATCATGTAATGGAACAATTTCCATTACATACCTCCAACGCCTAGGAGGATGAATGTAACATTCATCACACTTACAAAAATAAAAACTAAACAAAACAAAAATTAACGTCCAAAAAAAAAACAATAATATTTCTTGACTTTTATATCCTGGAGAGAAAATCGGCAACGTTACGTGAACCCGGACGATAACAAAATTGTATATTATACTCTTGAAGGGCCAATATCCAACGTGTAAGCTTTGAACTTTTTGGTGTCGATTCCGTCAGGTATGTTAATGGATTATGGTCTGTAAAAATTTTGATTTTGGATAGGCAAATCCACGAGCGGAATTTCTGAAGAGCCCAAACTATCGCGTATGCTTCCTTTTCGATCGTGGACCATAGTTTTTGAACATCGGTCAGTTTGCGACTAGCAAAGGCAATAGGTTTTTCTTTCTTGTCGTTGCCCCATTGAATTAAACAACAACCTACCGCACATTCGCTTGCATATGTTATTAATCCAAACTCTCGTTGGTAATCTATGGTGTTCAATACGGTGGCATCCTTCAACTTCTGAATCATCAGATTTAATGCATTCTGATGGTTGGTGGACCATATTATTCGATTCGATGGTGATTTCTTAGTCAACTCGGTGATCGGGTGCATCGTTGCAGCCAGGTTGGGTAGGAATGTTTGAAAATAATTAAAAAATCCAATTAATTTTCGTACCTCTTTTGTAGTCTTTGGTGGTTGTAGATGATCGAGTACCTGTATCTTTGATGGGTCTACCTAAATTTTTCCGGATCCCACTAGATGACCTAAGAACTTAATTCTCTTCTGCGCAAACCGACATTTGTCTAAATTCAACGTTATTCCGGCATGGGAAATTGTCTGTAAAAAACTTCGAAGGTGTTGGACATGTTCTGACCAACTATTAGAAAACACGGCAATGTCATCAATGTAGGTTTCTGTGAACTGATATATATCTTTCGTAAGTTCCTTCATGGCGCGTGTGAAGGTTACTCCTGCCGACTTCAATCCAAAAGGCATCCTTTTAAATTCAAACAAACCTTCATCGCAAACGAACGCAGTTAACCATCTTGAACTTTCTTGTAAGGGTATTTGTCAATATCCAGATCGTGCATCAAAACAACTGATGAGGTTGGCGTTGCCCACCTTTTGTAGTACGTCCTTTACATCTGGAATTGGAAATCCATCGTTTGTTGAATGTTTGTTAACGTAACGATAATCCACTGCCAAACGTACGCCTCCGTTATTTTTTAACACTCATACCACTGGGCTAACCATCTCACTGTTCGAAGGTACAATGATATCTTGTTCCAACATCTCTTTGAGCTGACGCTTTGCTTCCCCCCTGAGTAACTCGGGAATTTTGTAGGCTTTTAAACGTTTGGGTTTAAATCCTTCATTAACTTCAATACGATGTTGCGTTCCTTTAAAAAGTCCTATTTTCGTGGAGAATACGGCTGAGAATTCCTCGATCAAGTCAATCAATTCTCGACTTTCTTGTTTTTCTAGGTCACTAATGTGTATCTCCTCCTCGTTGATTTTTTGTTTGTTTTCCTTCTGTTCTTTTTCATACGTATCTAATACGCCAAAATCTGAATCATTCTCTCGAAGAATAACACAGGTATTGATCATGGCCTCTTCAATTCTTTTATGGAATCCATGAAGTTTATTGGCATGCACATGATATTTTTTTCCTTCCAACTCAACTAGGTACGAATAAGGTGACTTCACTTTCGCAATAGACGCCGGTCCTTGCCATTGGTTATACCATTTGCTTTTCATCTTCAAGGGTGCGAGCATAATGACCGAGTCGCCAACTTTGAAATGCTTGTCTTTCGTGCGAAGATTGTAATTACGTGTGTAACGCTGCTGTTCCTTCTCTGAATAGTATGCTGCATAATTCTTCGCCAATTCCAGATTGTTTTTAAGATTTTGGAGATATTCTGATCCTCGGCCAACATTTAAAGGAAATTCTCGTTCACCTGTCCAGTTTTCTTTCATCACTGTTAACGGGCCTCTCGGCAACGTTCCATACAATAATGTAAATGGACTTATATGGGTCGTGGCAGAAGGTCGTTCTCTCAAGCACCAAAGTACAAATGGTAATACTTTGTGCCAACTACGTGGATGATCTTTGGCAACCTTGTATATCATCATCTTCAGGGTTCTGTTACATCTTTCAACAACGCCCGAAGCTTCTGGATGTTCGGGTGTGTTAAATCTAGGACAGCACCCCAACCGTTTCAACATCTCCTTTGTGAGTTGACTCGTGAAGTTTGTTCCGCAGTCAGAGCTGATTATTTTTGGAATGGAGTGTCATGAATATCTGTAATAAAACTTCACAGTGGCCTTCGCACTCAACGATCTGAGAGGGTAGGCCATGGGCCAACGCGTGAATAAGTCCACTGCTACCAAAGCGTAATTATATTCCGGTTTAGGTCCTATTTCCGTGATCATCGGTCCAATGCAATCTATAACCAAATGACTGAATGGTAATTCGTCGTTTCGAGGTATCGGTGTGATGGGAACTTGTTGATCTCTTTTAATTGGTGCTCGGAGTTGACAAATCACACACGTTTTACAGTACTGTCGTATCTGTCATATCTGTCATATCTGGAAACCAGAAATTTAATCCGATACGATAACGCGTTGTCTTATACGCCATATGCCCTGCAAATGGGGCATCGTGTCCCAGATGTAATATGGTTTGGATTCTCGAAATTGGGAGACACAATTGTTTTACCTTATGTCCTAATATTTCTTCTCGATGATACAACAGACCCTCTTCTATGAAGAAGTTGTGTTTTCCGGTTTTAGCGTATTCCCAACACCTTTTTAATGATTCACACGCTAGTTGTTCTTCAAGGAGTGTTGATTTTTCAGCAACCGCGCTATCCCTACTTCCCGTCTCTTCTAAATCGGGTTTGTCAACTTCCTGGTCTTCGTCGGTTGATTCTTCTACGTCAGACATCGGATCTTGTCTCTTCACTTTTGCTTCATTTACCGACTTCCCTATTTCCCTTTCAACTAGTTTGACTTCGACGGTCACTGGATTTACTTGTTCGGTTTTGTCAACCACCGGGTTATCGCAGGTTAATTCGTTTCTCTTACTTGCCGAATCCTGCATCTTTTGCAGCTTCATTGATTCATCAATTTCTGACAGGTTTGTTTGTGGAATCGGGACGTCATAGAATTTCATCTCCTCGATCAAGTCAACGACACTTGGAGTTAATAATAGCCCTTCACAAATTTGGGAACAATTGCGCAATATATCTTCACTACTGGCGCAATATTTGTTTGTGTCTTATCCTTACAAGTAGGTTTGATCTGAATCCATACACCTTTCGTATGGTCGAAATGTTGTCCAATTCCCTTTATTGCTATAGTGTCTACCGGCTGTAATTTTAACTGGTAGCTGATCTCTTCACTGATGCAGCATATTTCTGATCCACTATCAATTAACGCCTTTTGATCAATCTCGTCGTTAATATTTACTTCGATGTACTTGCGATCATAAAGTTTGTTTGCTTCAATGACAACTTCCTTTGTTCTTATTGGTGATTCGATTTCAACTGGTCTCTGCGTTTTTTTGTCCGTCTCACAGCGCATGACTTTTCTAGTGGCCGTAGGTGTAATTCTATTTTTCCATGTACAGTGCTTTGCAATATGACCAATCTTCCCGCAAGAAAAGCAGGTTTGTTTGGGTGAAGCTGATTTGTTGTTGCTACTTCTATACATCTGGTGCTCATTTTCTCGAAATGATTGTATCTGATTGATACTCTCCGGCATACATGTATTGTCGCTCGAAACTTTCATGTTCATGGCAGTTTCATATTTGTCGATCGTTTGTGCCAACACGTCAGGACTCATCCAGGAAGCTGCTTGCTCTTGTGACAAAATAAATTCCAGAGTATGTCTTGATAGCAACTCTTTCATTCTATCTGCACATATTAATTTCATTGCATCTTCTAATCCCGTAATGTTACGGCTTTGAAAATAGTGGTTCAGCGTGCCGTATAATTTCGCCCCGAAACTCGTGTACGATTCGCTTTTCTGTCTTCTCAGGGCAAAGAATTCATCTCTCAATTTTGTCGAGTTTAACCTGAACTCCTGCAGAATGAGTCTTTTAATTTCGCTATAATCCTTCAGACCGTCGGCGGAAATAGTATGTAACCACGTTTTGGCCTTTTCGTTCAAACTCATTATCAACAAATTGGCTTTAATTTCTCCGTCTACGTGATAGTTTCGAAAAATTTTCTCTACGTGTTCAAAGAATGCAGGAATATCTCTTGGCTCTAACGGACACGTTCCTATCAGATGTTTTAACGACTCCGCGAAAAATCGAGTCTGTTGCATTAGTTATTATCCTCACTAGCATCATTGGCCACTTTTCGATTATTCATACCTTCTACCTCTAGTCGTCGAATTTCTAATCTAGCATAATTCTAATAATAGCATAATTCTCGAAGCCTATACTCCATTTCTAACTGTTTCCTTTTGTATAAGGTCAATCCACTTTCAGCATCTTTCGACACAGCGCCCTCCGCCGCAACACTGCATGGAGAATCAGCGCTGTCCGCCAAAATTGTTGCCCACGTTTCTAACAGCTGTGATCGGCTCATCAATCGTACACTGGCTTCGTCGATTGATCTCTTCAGTAGCTTCCTTGTTATTTGTTCGTTCGACAGACGTTGTAATTTTTGTTGTTTCATCTTCGTCAATCGATCCATTATAATTCTGAATTCTCAACTTACAACAAACGTACAACAAATGTAACAACTTATAACTAAGTATTTAATTAATCTTTTTATATAAATGTCAAAACGTCCTATTAGTTATTTAATTAATCACCAATTAAATAACTACCCCACTTCTGGTACCAATGTAACGGGTTCGATATTAACTAAACACAACGACAGATATATTATTAATCCTCCTTTATTAAAACCTAACTAAATAATTATTCGAATAAACCAAATTAATGAAAATGCAACAATACAATACTCAATTTTACTAACGTCAACTCCGACCCAAGAGCCACATAAAGGAAAAAGAGCTAACTTATTTGCGTAGGCTATTTATAGGCATGCACGGTGCTCTCTCCTAGGTAAGCGCTTGTACTTTGGTCTAGTAATCGACCCACGTGACCATACGGCGCTCTCTCCTAGGTAAGCACACGTGCTTTGTGCTAGTACTTATTCCACGTGATCATGTAATGGAACAATTTCCATTACAGATGGAGGTTATGCTAATGTTTGTGCTAATGATAACGTTGGAAACAAGGTTATACAAATTTGGAAGATAAAATATGGAAATAGTTTCTCAATGTTTAAGTCTACTGAACATTTTGTTGCACCTAAGGTTAGTCATCACACTACAAATAAATACAATGTTAAAATGTCTTACAGCATATTCTTACTCAACTGTTAAAGCAAGAAAGATTGTTCTTTTTTTTCATAAATTTTTTTAGAGGTATCAGCAAAAAAACACATAGCATGTCAACACGCGTGAATCAACGCATCACGCACGTCGCATGTGTGCATTCGAACACATTCACTACAACAACAGTGCCAAGCATCTTAGCAAGTACACCGCCCATGTCTTGTCGTAGCATGTCCCATCATGCTGTGCCATGGTATGTAGTGTTACGTTATGCTGTGCATAAATATGGGCGAAAGATTCCAAAATTTAAAAAAAGTACATAATTAATAATGGTGCTTTTACAATAATCGAATAAATGCTGATACCTCTAAAAAAATAATAATAAAAATTTTATGAAAAAAAGAAAGATCTTTCTTACTTTAACAGCTGAGTAAGACAATATGTTGTAAGACATTTTAACATTATATTTATTTGTAGCGTGGCGACTAACCTTAGGTGCAACAATAACTGTAATTAGTTTATTGTTGGAGAATGCAACACGGTTGTTAACGCGAATGTTTACGCTTTAATCAGAGTGCCTTTAAATTGAGTTTTCAGTCCGATCATCTTATTTCTTCATGTTAAGGCAAACAATATTTTGCCTTCCAACGAATGTTTCTCGTCTGTGATTGCTACGACAAAAATATACTTTTAAAGAAGTTTTAAAAATAGAGCCAACCATTTAAAATTCGTTACTTTTTGAATTTTTTTCCTTTAAAAAAAAAAATTTCCTCTTGTAGGCTATAATTTTTTTATCACTAGCGTCTAAAAAATAATTTTACAACGTTATGCAAACATTTGATAAGTTGCTCAAGTTCATTGTTGGAAACGGCGCAAGAGTTTCGCGTTGAAATATCAGACCGTGATTTAAAATGAATTCACTCCAGACTGCGATTTAAAATAAATTAACTTCAAATTGTCATACGAATTGGGTTAATGAAATATTAAAAAAATATTTTTTTTAATTTATAACATTTTAAATTTTAAATTACAAAAACTGCTTCTTGACTAAGCTAGGGTTTTTTTGTTGAAAATTTTGTTTTCGTTAAAAAATTATGGTTCAACTTCATTTTGTATACTTACAATGACTGAGAGAAAGTAAACCTCCTAAGTCATTCAAACATTCAAGAAAAAAAAAAAGTTCTACAATACCTGCTCTCAATTTTACGTACACCTTCTCACTCATTTGTTTGAAATACAAAAAGAAATTATTTTCATTTTAATCTGAGCTTGACTTGCGAATATAATTAAAACGCCAACGAAATAAATTTAAAAACTTAAATATCGTGTTGATTTAGATTGACAAGGAAGGTAAATAAATTTTTTAGCTTTTTATTTCCTTTCCTTCTTTAAATGAAAACTTTTTCTCTTCTGAATATTTATTATATTTATTTGAACTTCACTATTTTGTCTACTTAATTTTACTAATATTTGTTATAAACAAAATTTACCTAATGTTACTAAAACATTTCAAATCCATATCCATGATTTTTTTTCTCAGTTGTTTCACAGCTAGTATGTTGTTACATTCTCCGCGTCTGGCAGAGTTTGATTTAAAGAATACAACAATTATTCTCATTAAACACTTTTTCCTTACTAAGGGTTAGAAATGAGGAAGGTGCTGGCATAAGGAAAATGATGAGTCGTGGGTGGATATTAACCCAAAATAAACATTACAACATTTCCCAACTGCCCGATAGTTGTATACCGTAAAATCGTTGATGTTTTGCATTTTAAATTCTTGATTATTCAGTCAAAATATTTCTAGTTTGAAAGCTGGTGTACATCATGCTATTGTTTTCTTGTCATTCTCTTCCATGTTTGTAAATTTATTTATTAATAAACAGGAGCATATAAGAGCTTTCTGATTCTTTTTTTATTTCAAGTTTGAAATTCTCACAAAATGAAAAAACAAAATAAAATCTCACCGCTGGTATCATGTAGAATTGACATTGTTGTTTAGAAAACAGAAATACAACATAGGAAAATGTGTGGTGTGTGTACGTGTGTGTGTGGTGTGTGTGTGCGCGTGTGTGGTGCGTGTGTGTGTGTGTGCATGTTCGAGCGTGTGCATAGTAATAAGTATATTATCAATCAGAAGGTGACATTCACAATTTAATTCAAATAAAATTATTGAAATGTTCTTAGTTATTTACCAGCCAGCATGCGGAGGCATGGTAACGAACTTACCTGTCGACGATGACTCTTAGTGAAGGAAGGCTCGTGAATTAAATTATTTTTACATCCAATTTATTTAAACTTAATTTGCTTGCATTACAATTCCTGAATTTCAAATCATTGGAAAATATCAACATCGTGAGTGAGTGACTGATGGTCTGGAGGAAGTTAGAAATGTGGCTACAATGAACGCTGCAGGTCGGTTCAATATAAAACATGACTCCAATAGATGACTATTGTGTTACGGAGATTCTGAAGACATTATTATCTACAGTATTAAAGTGTAATATGGTTCTAAAAATGTGTGCGCTTGTTGCATTAAGAAAATTACGATAATAACAAAATCGATTATATTAGAGACAAAGTTTGGCGAAAGCTCCCGCACGAGGGATAATTTTGCTAGGGTTGATAAACTAAGCAAAATTTTTATATAAATTCGACTTGAAATACTTTCAACTTCTTTTCCCACTAAAACAAAATTTTTAAAATAAAAAGTACAGTGTTTTTTAAATATTGAACTATAAGAAAAAAGTAAAAAGTTAACCTTTTTAAAAAATCAAAATCCTCTTCAACAAAAATTTCTGACTACACAGTTTATTTATAATATTGTTAATGTGTGAGTGTCATAAATATTAATGTTGCTTTTGAATTTTTGTTTAAGCTGCTACTCCGAAAAGTATTGTTGTCAGTTGCCTCCTTTGTATTTCTTATTTAATTTCTCTTTAAATATTTAAAAGTCGCATTCGCCCGGATTATCTCGCAAGTTTGTAATGTTGTTGTTGCTAATGTTGTTGTTGTTAGTGTTGTTGTTGCTAATGTTGTTGTTAGTGTTGTTGTTAATGTTGTTGTTAGTGTTGCTGTTGTTAATGTTGTTGTTAGTGTTGCTGTTGTTAATGTTGTTGTTAGTGTTGCTGTTGTTAATGTTGTTGTTGTTAATATTGCTGTTGTTAATGTTGTTGTTGCTAATATTTGCACTGCTTACGCCGTTGCTAATGTTTTTTTGACGTATCCTGCTGCTAATGTTGTTGAGGCTACCGTAGTTGCTGCTATTGTGTTTCAACAATGTTGTTGCCATGCTCTCTCCTACAAAATATAACATTGAAAAATTTTCATTTAAAAAAAATTAAAAAGTTGCAATTCATTATAGAAATAAGTTTTATCATTTGTGAACGACTAGTATGGTTTCACACAGACGTGTGGGTCGTTGGCGTGTAATAATTGGAGAAGGCATCTCCCGACAGGCGTACCTATAGATGAACCAATTTGCAGTTCCATTGTTCCATTGCACACAAGTGCTTATTTTTATTCTTTTTTTGGCCATTGAAAAAAAGATTGGAAGACGCTGTTAAAAATTTCCAATAACAAATTACGTCATGAATAGATTTTTTTCATGGAAATATAATTTGCTGAAAAACAATTCCTAATGAGACATGCTCGAAGGAGAATCTTCCTAATCAGCGATGTTTGAGACGAATTGTTAATTGCATGAAAGACCATATCAGCACATTTTTATTTTATTCATTCATTCATTCATTCATTCTTTCATTCATTCATTCATTCATTCATTCATCCATCCATCCATTCATTCATTCATTCATTCATTCATTCATCCATCCATCCATCCATTCTTTTATTCAACGGCTTTTAATATCGAAACTATCAAACATAGCTCAGCTAACCATGAGCAAGTAATTGGTTGATGAACACTCATAAATACGAATTCAAAGAAAATATTTCATCCAGTTCAGCTGACCTGA